TCTGTCACCACTTTTGAAAGTACTGTCAGTCTTCTGAGGGGAGTATGAGTCTCCGTCAGACATATGTCTTCAGCTCTGAATCCTGGAGTACGTGCATGTGTTGTGTGTGTGCCTTCCTCTTCCATGCAGGCTTCTTTTGTCTGTGGCTGGTCCCCGTAGTTGAAAAGGAAAGCAGGGAGATTATAACAAAGCTAAAGTTCAGTGTTGCTTTGAACAGATCACTAATGTTGTGTGAGATTTTATTTTCACAGCCAACTTAGGTTTCTGCAGTAATTGCACAAGCAATCGCAGTACTCGTACCCATCTTCAGAGACATCGTTATAAACACCTTTATCAGCACCTTATTTTTGTTAAGTTTCTGATGAAGTTCTGTTGCTTCAGACTTGCCCTTGGTGACAGATGTAGCCAGTCTGTTTTTCAGCCACTTGGAGGGAGCCATTGGGGTTTACAAGCTGTCCCCACTGTGGGAGGCAAGCAGCAGACACATTATAAAATCTGAGCAACTCCCGGTGTTCCAGTGGCAACTAGGCTTACAGCAGATGTATTGGTCCAACCAGAATCTGTAAGTTGCATTTAAAAATGCATTTTTTCAGATTGTCCCAGGATGTTTACACAGGAAAACTCTAAGCCACTTTGTAATCAGTTACCTATGCAGTTAACAAGTATAATGGATAAATCGAGAATTAAGCCTAGTGAGGATGACAAAGCTATGACTGTTTCTTCTTCCCTAGCCAGGGTTCTGAACTAGCGCTGCAGGGAAGAGAGCTCGCTAATCATTTCAAGACTGAAGGAACTCCAGTTATGATTGGTAAGCACTCAAGTAGCGAAGAATGCCAATGAAAGCACGTGGCCTCCCCATGCTGAATTTCATTTTGGTTAGAACTCATTCAGTTTAGTGTACAAGAGTTAATCAAAACTCTAGATGAATTAAAAGTTATGCTTTTCCCAAGGGAGCCTGGACGACTGTACAGTTTAGTTTGGCTGGTATCTTTTCACTCAGTATTTCTCCCAAGCTCACTATTAAACCTGGTAAGAAAATTCCATCTAAATGATGTTCTTAACAACTGCTGTTAAAGTCAGAACTCAGGAGCCGACTTTTGCTCTCTAGAGGAGCAGAAGTTCATACAGTTCTCCAAAACTTCCCATTGCGTAAGAGCAGTGTTTATCTAGCTTTGAAGAGAAGGGTATTATCCAAAATCTTTTTAAGACCAGTTTTAATAATCTGAAATGCTGGTAACATAAGAAATGCCATTCGTAAGAATGCTGTGACTTTAACTGAACTATTTCCAAGAAAGCTGTAGTTTAGAAAATGAAGAATATTGAAAATATCATTTTCAGCTTTAATAAAATTTTAATTTTTCTAATTTTCACAATCTGTATTTGACACTTCATAAAGATAGCATTGCTCTCTCAAATTAGAGGTGCCAGAATTTCAGATTTTGGTATGAAATATTCTTGGCCTTTCAGCAGCCTTTTTCTCTGAATTTCAAGAATTTAGAATCCTGTATTGAAAAATCTTCTAGTCTGTAACTTATCCTTTCCTGCAATGCTTTCTTGTAGACTGGTTTATTTTTTGTTGTTGGAGGGGCAGAGGTTGGCTTTTTGGGGTGGGTTTCAGGGATTTTTTTTTTTCTTTTTATGTTCTTTTGGAGGTTTTGCAATTTCTGTCTGTTGTGCAGAGTCATTACTACAGTATCGCCTAAGGATGTAAACTCCTCATGTTATTCGAAAGAAACATGCAAGAGTTGACCTGTGGCCAGCTCATCAAAATAACCCCTTTCTCTGTTTGCAGGCTAGAGAAAAGGGAGTCAGAAATTACTACTCTGCCCCTAATATCCACTAAAACATCAAATAACCCTTATCCAGAAATTCTGATTTCTGTTCTAAATTTAGTCCTTTTACAACTAGAAATTTTTCCAGATTCCTTTTCTACAGTTAAGTTTCTTTAAAGAAAAAGTGAGCAGAACAGAGGTTTGAAATATTCTTGACTTCATCTGGTGGAAGTGATGAGGATTTAACCCGCCTTGCTGACATGGAAGAAATCTGGAAAGTAAATTCTTTAGTTGTAGTAAGTAACATAAGTAATCTTCCCTAGTTGTAGTAAAGCTATGTTGTTTAATAACATGAAGAATCTAACGTAGGACAGCTTAAGAATCATTTTGATAACCAAGCTAATCTGATAATACAAAGTGTTGATGTACTTTCATGTTAGGCTTGTACATTTAACCAATGTCAGTGAAAAATTTTTAGTAATCTATGTTCTTCCTGTTTTAGGTGGAGGTGTTTTGGCTCACACAATATTAGGAGTGGCTTGGAATGAGATTACAGGGCACATAAAATATTTGATTCTAGACCCACATTACACCGGAGGAGAAGATCTGCATGTTATTTTGGAAAAGGTGAGGCTTGACGCACATGCACAAATATACACACACACATATATATACACATACAAATAACATACAGCTAAATACAAATTGACTGTTCTATGGCTCCTCCATTCCTTATGGAGGAAGTGCTGATCCCAGTTAACCTGCGTATATGCTACTCACTGTTGGTTTCTGAAACTTAACGTGTCTTTGGAGAAGATGTATTGGATCAGCAACTACGTGAAGTTGTTACGGTACAAAGAAACGTTCTTTACTTTCTCTGAATTAAACCATCTCCCCTTTTACCCAGTAACACATTCAGTAAGTGTGTTTGATATTTTGAATGGAACAGAAAAATCTGTTCAGCCTGTAAAATGCTGTTACTGACGCAGAGAAGATAACCATTTCTTTAAAAAAAAAAAATCAAAAATATCCAGCACTAGGCATTCTCAGATCAGGCCTTGAACTAAGTTTAAAGGGCAGGTACTGAGCTGTTTTGAAAATCTGGGAAAACTCTGAAGAACTAAAGGATACGTCATGTTATTTCAATATTTGAAGCTACTAAAAGAGATGACACAGCACATTACAAAACAGTAAACATAGTGTTAGAAATGTAAACTGTGAGAGTGGCTAAGTCATCCTATGAGTGTTCAGTAGTCAATTTCTTTTTCCATTCTTCATATTAAAGATATTCCGTATCTTTGATACCCTTGGGTTGGGCCCAACATAGAAAAGCTGTTGAAGAAACATTTTGCTACAGCTATAATGAACACAGCTTGAAATGAATACAGAAAGAAACAATTTCAAAGAACATGTAGAACCAAAGGCTATTGCAGCTACAAGGTGTTCAGGAATGGTCCAGGAGGATAAAATACAAGCAGAACCCCCTTTCCTGATCAAAAGTGGCAGGGAGGGGAGGAACTGAGGTGGACTGTAAGTTTGTTGCTCTTTTCTTCAAAAACACCTCATTATAATTATGTGGTATTGTGCAAACTTAAGAGCTTTGTTAAGACTGTTTTTCTGCTAACATGATCAACAGCACACCTTCTGATATTAAGAGCTCTGTCTGGCTCTGAAATATCAACTGTTACCAAAGAAAGCAAGGATTCAAGACAAGAGCAACAGAAACTCTGAGAATGATAAGAATTTCAGAGTAATATTAGTCTCTCTATAGCAGCAAAAAGTGGGGAAAGTAGGAGGGGGGGGTGGGGAAAGATGCTACTTTTTTAGGAACTGAGCTAGAGTGGGGAGGGAGGAAAGGGGTAAGACAGACTCTGTAAAGTGTTTTCCATTAATATGTTTCCAGACATGTAGAGAGCTTTCTGAAAATTGTGTGTCACTGCATTCCATATATATTTGAAAAGAATTTATATGTCTTAGATTAAAATTAGTGAAATAGAATAGATTCAATAGTAGTGGACAGGAATAACAGAATTCATAGTTGATTTAAATGCTATCTTGCTTTTTCTTGGACAGGGCTGGTGTGGATGGAAGGGCCCGGAGTTTTGGAACAAGGACGCCTATTATAATCTGTGCCTACCTCAACGACCAAAAACTATTTGAATTGCACTCTTACGCTGGAACATACTAAGCCAGAATACTAGCTGATCTAGTTATAACTGTCTTGTTATTTATCAAAATAGTGCTTTAATTCAATCAAAACCCAGTTGAAATAGAAATGTTGCTTGAGTAATTTAAAATAAGAAATATTTTTTTTAAAAGAAACCTCTAAGAGTTATGTGCTGCGAACTGTATTTCTTACAAATACATTTATTAGGTAACTAATACTCTTTTCTTTTGCCTAGGACAACTCTGTTTATATAGGAATTTTTGTTATGCTAAAATCTTTACCGATTAAATGCCCAATCCTTTCATTTTATAGAATTTTTTTTTTTTGCAAAAAGATGATCTTTCCCCTACCATTCAAGTGGCATATAGCCAGCTGTCTTGTGCACTATGAATCTGTTCAAAGGCATTGTTTGCTGCTGGTACTGTTGATAACAGCATTTTAGAAAAGGAGTGGGAGAAATATGGCTATATGTACTGAATTTTATTAACTTTGTTCTCATATTTACACAGAAAAAATGTAAGAGAATTAATTGTTATATACTCATTTATTTATAGCTGTATGAATACATCTATTCTAGGGGAAAAAAAAAAAAACACACCACACGTCTTCTATAAGAAGTAAAAATAAACGAGCTTTCCTCCTTCTCAGAAGGAAACAATGTACCAGCATCCGTCTGGCTGCTCAGTGCAGAGTCCAGTCATGTTTCTTCAGACTTCTGATTCCCCTTGGATTTAATTTTGGGATTGCAAGCTGTTTCTTTTGTCAGCTAGAAGACAAGATCTGTCATATGAACAAATAAGAATAAGTCTGTAGCTACTGCATCAGTACAAGTACCTATGATTTCTCTTCCCCCCCCCAATGTTAAAGTAGCCTTTTCAGTGGCATTCCCCGTGCCCTATCCATTTTTGATAAGGCCATAACCTTAAGTACCTATGCAAGTTCATCCTTACTAGCAGGCTTCTAAATCCAGCTGCCATTTAGCTAACACAAAATTTATTTACTTAAACGCTAAAAGCATTGAAAAAAAGAAAAATATTCTGAATTGTAGTAAATCTGCAGTATTACACACCATCTGATCTTCTCCTCTTCCTGTTTATGGATCTGCTGGTTTCACTTTCTTGTTTCTGTGCAGTGGGATCCTCTCTCAGCAAGCCATGTCTGTCACTCAGCGAGTAGCCAGACTGTCCTCTCAGTTTCATTGTCTGAGTTTGCTGAATTGTTGTGAGGAACTTGGCACATTCCAGAAAGCCGTAAGCCAGTGCGAGGTCTGCTGCTGTTTGTCCACTGTTGTTGCACAAGCTGAAACACAGAATTAGGAGTAACCATTCAATTAAACTGGAATATATATTATGAGCAAGCACTGATCAAGATTAATTAAGTGGTGACTTCAGAGGTATAAAAATAAGTACAGAGAATCAATACCAAGAAAGCTTGTCAAGGATAGCATGGAGCTCTACTCATACCGAGGGCTGGTATTAAATGCAGCGAGGAATAATTATTTTAAAATAAATTTGTCATCAGACTATGACTGGCTTAGCATATCAGAAAGGCAAGAGGAAGGTGAGCACAGCATTAGTCAGAATGGAAAACCAACAAGAACATACAATCAGGAATATTCTCTTAGCACTTACTATAGAGGTCTTAACATGGAACTAAACGACAGCATATGATCTATGCTGCCTTGGTGTTCATGGCAGGTTTTAATACTGCTCTTATGACTATAGTCATGCTATACTTTGAACAAGAAAAAGTACTGTGTAAAATACATGCATCCTTTGATGCTGTTACTGAAATGACTAAATGTAGCTCAACTTACTCAATTTTGGCATCGCCAGCAACAAGGAGAGCCAAACATTCCAAACTCCCAACTTTTGCTGCTTTATGAATCGGGGCTTCTCCAAGGCAATCCTAAAACCACAATTTACATGTAACGGTCATTCAAAGAAAGGGGGGAACAGGATGAAGCTGTCTTGTTCTCCAACATGACTATTTACAGAGTGTTTCTCTGTGTACCAGTCTGTTGTGAGTTGAGAAATAAATTAGCATAGCTAGTAAAGTGTACTCAGTAACTGCCATAAAATGTTTAGTGTATTCATCACAGCAAAGTAGAAATACTGTCTCACGCAATACGCATTGTTGAACATTTACCTTCTAAAAGGTTATTTGCACAGAATACTCTCTGTACACTGACTAACAGCATCTTTCAGCACCATTCAGGGATTGCTGTAACCAACAGCTTGCTGCTACTATCTCAGAGGTATAAGCGAAATTAAACTTTGCAGCTAGAGGAAGAATCCTTATGTTTCCTGGAAGTAGGTGCAAAATTTCAGAGGAAAAAGCAATGCTTATTTATGTAAAAAGTTCTTTTGACATCTGCATGCAGCGTTGTAAGCGTGCAAATTGCATTATACATAGCGAATGAAATGGCTAACGCAATACACAGGATTTCTGGTTCATGTTAGAATAAAGTTACTCTTTATAAGCAACCTCAGATATCTCATGCAATAAAACTGTGTATATATATAAGAAAAAACTAAATAATATAAATTGGATTTACTGACATGCCAGATTAGAAGTGGAAGAAACAAAACTTCTGTATTTTTTACCTGTTGATTCAAATTCGCTCCTGTCTGCAGTTGCCAAAGCAGGAAAAAAGCTTCGCCGGCGCAAGCAGCCAAGTGAGCTGGAGACTGACCAAAGGCATCTGCAGGTGCGTTCACACCGGTTCCTGCCTCAAACAGATGGCTGAAACTGCCAGACTAAAACAAACACGGTATCAAAAAAAAAAAAAAAAGCACAACGTTATTGCCAGTCTAAGCCACGGCAAGACCAAGAACACTGCACCCCAGCAGAAAACACCCCCCTTGCAAATCATCGGACCTTTATGTTCTTCGAGCCCGCCCTTCCAAAGAGAAAGCAATCCAAGCATGACTTTTTTGGCTTTTAATCTCTTCACCAGAAACACCGACGGGCATCGGCGGTGCTCCAACGCAGCGAACCGCAGTTCGTGCAGTTGCGCAGCCGGGG